GATATTATAGGAATTAAACTAGGCTTCCTCCTGGATGTGGGACGTGAAGGAAAGTTAAAGAAGAGACTGAATTTTTGAGCCAGGTGACTGGAAGAAGGGTGGTGCCATTGACAAAAATAAGGAAATTGGGATGGGGACCAAAGACATAAGTCAGTATGTAATTTTGCTATGACTGGTTGGACCTTACATACTAACTCAGTAGTCACTGGTCATATGTACGCACTAATACCCCTTCATCTGTTAATGACAACATGATATCCCCCACAATTATTTTCCTGGGCCTCTGCCTCTGTGCTTGTAGAATTAATTCTTTTTCTTTATTTTTTTTTAAGTGACTTGCCCAGGGTCAAAAAGCTAGTAAGTACTTGAGGCTGGATTTGAACTCAGGTCCTCCTGACTCTAGGGCCAGAGCTCTATCCACTGAACCACCTAGCTGCCCCCCAGAATTAATTCTTAATAAGAATAGCTAGCATTTATGTATCTCTTATTTTATTTTTTTATTTTTAGGCAATTGGGGTTAAGTGACTTGCCCAGGGTCATACAACTAGTAAGTGTCAAGTGTTTGGTCTGAGACCAGACTTGAACTCAGGTCCTCCTGACTTCAGGGCCAGTGCTCTATCTACTGCACCACCTAGCCGCCCCTATGTATCTCTTTAAGACCTACAAAGCCCTTTACACATTGTTTTCTCATTTGTTGTGATCTTCATAACAACTCTTTGAAGTAGATTATTATCTCATTTTACAGATGAAGAAACAGAGGCTGAGAGGAGGTTTCTCTTTCCCACTCCCCTTCCCTCTCATCTTCTCCTCCATCTCATTACTGGGCTTGAGCAATCAGATCCCCTTGCCCAATCTCAATTTACTCTGCTTACTACCTGGGCAGACCCAGGTCTCCTGACAATGGTTTTGGGCTTAAATGTGTTTGCATGATACCACAGTTTTCAGCCAGTCAGGACATTGGAATTATCTATTTGATAGACTTCAAGTATAGCTTTTTATAGTTTGCAAAGTGATTTAGACACATGATTGTATTTGAGCCTCAGTACAATCTTATGAGGTAGGTAATTTAGGTATTATTATCCTCATTTTACAGATGAGGAATCTGAGACTCATAGAATTTAACTGATTAATCAATAATCATTTATTAATTTGCCAACTATGCTCAAGGCACAAGGCAAGGCACTGGGGATACAAAGAAAAAATGCAACAGTCTCTGCCCTCAAAGTGCTTACATTCTATTACAGAGAGGCGTATTCATAAATATACATGAACAAAATATACACAAGGCAAATTTTGGAGGGCCAGTTCGGGGACCAAGAAAAGCTTCATGTAGAAGATTGCACTTGGGCAGAGTTTTGAAGGAAACAAAGGATTCCAGAGGCAGAGGGGGAGTGGAAGTGCATTCTGGGTCTGGGGGATAGACAACCTGTACAGTCTGCATACGAGTGCAAGAAACAGGAGTAACGTATACAATAAAACTGGAAAGGTCTTTTGGGGCTAAGTTGTAAAGGTGAAATGCCCTGCCCTAAGTCAGAGAGTAAGACTGAGAAGTAAAAGCTGAACCCAGGCCTTCTTGACTCCAGATTTAGTGCACTATCCACTATGCCATCCTGCTTTCTGCAGCACCATTTCCTTAGATTTGACAAACATTAAAAAAAAAAAAGCACCCAACAAGCCTCCAGCCTTCTCCTAACAAGGGTGGGCTCTGTTTGGCACATGCTGACTTTGACGTCTTGGAAGGATACTCTCGTGGAGAGGACCTGAAGGCAAATGGATATACAGGATCTTGGGTGGGAATTAAGGATTGTAGATGAGAGACTGGAGAGATATAGACGTTGACAGCTGTAACTGAGAGACGATCAGTACAATCAATACATTGAGACAGAGGAGAGGGAGAAGGACTAGACCTAGGCAATACACATAGTTAGGAGGTTGGGGGTAGGCGGAGGCAACAAAGGAGACAGAGAGGGATTGGCCCAAAAGGTAGGAGGGGAACCAGAAAAAGGATGATGCCGGAGAGAGGAGAAATTCCAAGAAAGGAAAACCGTGCCTACAGAGGTCAACGAGAAAACAGACTGATTCTACATACTCACGGGGCAGCCTTGAGAGCTTCAATGTGGCTTCTTAAGACCAAACCCTGCTGTATGGAGAGACAACAGCAACCTCAAGGCCTTTTTCAGACAAAAGCCTTTCTCCTATAATATTTATCCACTGCCACATAAGCCTAAGCTCTTTAGACCATTTATGAAGTGTAGGCCCAGTCTATGGAAACCAAATAAAACCAACTGATTCCCTTTCTAATTTTTGGCATGTTATAGGAAAGAAGCCTTCACTTGACTCTCTGGAAGTCAGAGGTTTTGGAGCTGCTTACTGGGATTCATAAAGAGCAGCTTTTAAGATGGAATTGTAGGTCTGTGGTTTCTGGATGGCTATAAGACTTGCTCCCCTCCCCCCCACAGATTCCCCACACTTGATGTTAATGAGTTCCAGAACTCCAATGCATGCCATCCTGTTTTGGTTAAACCACATTACTTCCTATTCTGTCTGGAAATTAAGCTGAGTATTTCAGTCACTGGGATGGGGAAATTTCTCTTCTCTCCATCCTCCTTTCCCCCCAACCCTATTCACGGTACAGAGTGGGAGATACGCCCCCATAGAGGGTAATGTTGGCAAGGTAAGGAGACTGAGGTTTGGGGGAAATGACATTTAATCCATCCACCACAGACCTGCCTTGTCTCAATAATATGTACCTCAGAAGTCTCCTTGGGTAGTCAGTAGGGCTTTGAAAGGATGGCGGACACTCCCATCATAGTTCCAGACGTGCTACCCAAAGAAATGGAAATAGCACTGAAGAGAACTAATGTGGAAGAAGCAGCTGGACTCGACTGAGTAAACACAGCAGAAAATTGTGAGTCTGTTGAGACAACAGTTCCTAAGGTATCTAAAAGAAGGGAAGATACCAACAGCATTAGGGAAAAAATATGCTGACCTTATTATTACACTAAAAAAAAGTGACTGAAAGAATGACTACAATAGGCAAATCATATACCTACTTTTCAATTAATAGGAATAAAGCTAGACTTGTGATGTAATTAATACAGGGTGTCCCAAAAGCCTTTGTGCAGTTAAAAACCATTAAAGCTTAAAACTTTTGGGATTCCACTACTTTTGTGACACTTTATACATAAAGAGCTCCCAAGGGAAGAAACCCCCTGCCAATGTAACTCAATTTTAGACAGTGGTCAAGAACATCGAGAGATTAAGTGACTGGTTTGGCTTAATGGAGTTTGAGTGAGGTTCATTGTTCCAAGACCCAAAACAATCTCCTTCATATGCCATTTATTCTGCCAGAGGAATGAGCCCAAGGAGTCTTGCTGGGGCTGGACCCCTGTCAGAGCCCTGGTATAGGGGGGAAGGTAGGGAGGTCCAACCAGAACATGGGTTCCAGATCCAGTAACCTGGTCCTGGTCTCATGTTCCCTAATAGATGACTTGGGAAATAGGAGACCTTCCAAAGCCATTAAGTGCCAACCTGGGGTGATGGTTGGTATTTTTAAAGGGGTAAACTGGTGAGGCAGGGAGGGGTAGAACCACAAAACACAACACAACATGATGGGAGCCAGCAGGGAGAAATTAAAGCAAGGAAGCTTTATTGAAAGAAAACACTCATAATGTGAAAGGGCACTTTCAATTCCCATTAAATTCCCCCAGTCTTTTTTATATGAATCTTCACTGAGCTACCACTCCCTTATCCTATTCTTATAAAATTGCTGTTTCCTAACCTAAAGTTAGGAATTTATATTTATTCCTATTAAAGTTCACCTTATTAGACTGGGCCCTTTGTGGTAGACTATCAACGTCTTTTTGAATCTGGATTCTGCTCTGCAATGTGTTAGCTATCCCTCCCGGCTTCACACTATCTACAATTTTGATAAACACATTCTTTATCCCGTGCTATCCTGACCTTCCATTGAACTTGCTGGAATTCCCTGTTTTCCTTTAGTCAACAATACGTACCAGGCATGGCGCTAAGCACCGGGGTCACAAATAAAGGCCCCAAACAGCCCCTGCTGTCAAGGAGCTCAGTAATAAGAGAGACCGTAAGCCAACAACTACGTACATATACAGGGTGAATTGGAGGCAGTCTCAGAGGGGAGCATTGAAGGAGACCGGGAGAAGTTTCTTGCAGAAGACAGGTTTAGCTGAGACTTGGAGGTAGCCAGGAAGTAGATGTGAGGAAGAAGGGCCTTCCAGGACTGGAGGCCAGTAAGCGAAAGGGTTCAGAGTCAGAAGCTTGTTAACAAATTGCCCTTCACATTAGATCTGTGCCCTCCCTTCAGAAATCGCTTTGTATATTTTGTATTTAACTTTCTATATAGATGTTGTTCCTTCCAACAGAACATAAACTCCTTGAGGGCCAGGACTGCTGCATTTCTGTTTCTGAATCCCCAGGGCTTAGGACCATGCTTGGCAAATAGTAGGCGTTTAGTCAATTTTTGTTGAATTGACTCTATGCCACTGACAATGGTATTGATTAAAACGTCAACCAGAACAGAGCTAAGGACCAAATTGGGTGTTCATCCTCTAGTGACCTCCTTTCAATGCTAACATTCATTGGCTGTGGCTATTCAGCCAGTTCCACATTCATATAAATCTATTATCCATTCAGCTCTGTTTTCTCAATAGAGTTGTAAGAAGAGATTTTGTCAAATCTTTCCTTACATATACTGGTGAGACCAGGGAGGAGGAAGATAAGGTCACATCCTCAGCCCACCCATCTCAGCTGGGTAGATACAGGCACTTTCTCCTCAGGGAAGGGAATGGAAAGTGTTCCTCGTCCAAACTGCCCTCTACACTAACCTTGATTAGATAACAAAAACTCACTCTTTTTTTTTCAGTCTTATTTCCTTCCGTTCTCCAGTGGGACCCTTTAGTTATGCCTTTTCAATGCCTGATGCTCTGAACAACAAACCACTTAGACTCTTCTCTTCTTTCCCAAAGGTTTATGGCTGAAGGAAGGGTTCCTTACTCACCTAGAGCTCAGCTCTTGTGCAGTGAAGAACATCGCTTTCCAGAGGCCACCACTCACTCTGTCTGAGTGGCTGACCTGCTGTCCCACCAGGGTAAGGACTGGGGGGAGGTTGGTGATTGGGGAAGCAGCTTCTCTCCAGTAATATTAGTGACATCACACAAACACATAGAATTTGGAGCTGAAAAGGACATTAGAGGTTGTGTAAAACTTTTAGGATCCATAAAGGTTAAGTGATCCAAGGTCACATAGGAAATAAACAGCAGAGTCCATATTCATCCCAAGTCCCCTGTTGACCTGAAGAAGACATTTAAATAGATTTTCAGGTCTGAAAATGGGTTTTGTTGCCTTGGAATGCAGGAAGTAACTGAAGAGGTAACTTGACTAATATCCCAGAGAGAAAACATTAGCAACCTGAATTAAAAAAAGGACTCACCCACAACTTAATTTCCTTTTAGCCCTGGGACTAGGGACTTGTGCTATTTTGTATGGCTTCTCAGACACATACATGCATACTCCATAGGTGAATTGTCGGGGGGGGGTTAAAAAAAAAAAAAAGACTTTCAGGTTGATGGCATACAATAGGTGTGTCTGTTACATGAATGAGTCATTTTCCTTTCATTTTGTTCTTTATTGATTTACTGTAGGTATGGAAAGTCAGATAATTTGGGGGTGGGTGGTTGAGTCTCCTCCAATTTGAAGAAGTAGCAAAAACAAAGATAAAAACTGAAGAGAGGTGGTACCTTCTAAGATTTCTTGGACGGAAGCCTCCGCAGTTTTTGGTATAAGTTTCAGCCTACGTTCTATTATGCAAATGAGGTCCCTCATGGCCTTTTACCTGGGGAGTCTGGAATGTTTAGAAAACACTGTTCAACTGCCAATAATGGCCTTCATTGTTTATGTAGACCCCAACCCTGGATGACTCAGTGGATTGAGAAGAAGGGGCATAGCAGGTTGGGGCAGAGCCTTTCCAGCTTTTAAATTCAGCTTCCCCCACCCAAACTTGCCTCATACCTTTTCTGAAAGAGTTTTTTCCCATTGGTGGGTGTCCTGCTAGTACCATTCCTGTCTTTTTCTCTTGATAGCCTGTGAAGAGAATCAAAAAATCTCTTAGCAACAAGATGACTTCAAGACAGTCAAAGACCAGTCTGAAAAAGGCCTATGGATCTAGCAAAGAAGAACCAGAAGATGACTACATCACACCGGGGGCCTTTGAGCTGGAGCGGCTCTTTTGGAAGGGCAGTCCCCAGTACACCCACGTCAATGAGGTCTGGCCTAAACTCTACATTGGAGATGAGTAAGTATTGAGACTGAACCCAGACTCCAACCGTCTACAGGCCCACAGCAAACTCTTCCATCTTTAATGGTTCTGAACATAAGACTTACAGGCAGGAAAAATTTATTTGGGTTGTTTCTGTTCTTTGGGGAAGCAGCTTAGCTTGCACATTAGTAAACGGGTTGGAGGTCTATCAAAATTGGGAACAGCTCCCATTGGCTTAGAATTCTGCATATAGGTCTATACTTATCCATAGAAGTTACTTATCCAGAGAAGTTACCACCTGTCTTGTCTCAGATATTTCTATCAAGGGTACAATGCCAGGGATTCAGTTTTTCAAGGGAGGCTAGCCATTTTGGGTACTATTCTCTGAAAGTAACTTTTTATGTGTATTTTCCCCCAGTGGATGCTGGAGAGATTTCATACCCATTTCATCACTATTGGCTTATAAGCTTTGGTTATTTATTTTAGACAAATTAATACAAATCATGATCTATTGCATATAAAAGGCCTTTGCCATCATAAACCTGTGGCTTAGCACCTAAAGAAGTCCCTCCTCTTCCTCGAGGTACTGCCAAGCCCTTCTCCTGTTAGCATACTTGTGTACATCAGGTGTAACATCGGTACAAGATTCGTACAACATCTGAACCTTGACCCCAACACAGTGATGTCATTTGTTCTTCTTTGAGAATGAAGACAACAATCAACCATATATATCAGCTGGTTTTCATTTTAGAAGCAGAGTGGGTCTGGCTGTGACGGACATGAAGGAAGAGCAAAGTTTAGCTTCATTAGGCCCTGGGAGCTGGGTGGTCAAGGGAGAAAGGAATGTGGTATATGTTCAGAATCCACTTTGGTATGACCATGGACAAGTCACATAAGTACTCTGAGCCATGTTATCCTCACTGGAAAAGCAGGGATAATAATACCTGCAGAACCTCCCTGGCATGGTCAATGGGTAGCTTAAGTAAGATAATGCACATAAAAATGCTTTAACTAGCCTGAGATAAATGAGGCTTTGCCTCAGGGTACAAATTGGGAGAAGGGGGAAGGGAGGTGTGTTTTCTTGCCAGTAGGGTGGTAGCAACATCCATCTTCCTGACTTACCAACCTACCAGCCCACCCTCCTCCTACTTACTACCCAGGGCCTGCCTCCCCCACAAGATGGGGTGGGGAGAGAATGAGATCTGGACTCTAGGTCACACAGGCTTCCCTTTTCCCAGCATAATGGCAGCTACAGTCATAACGTTCCCTGGGCTCCTCCTGTGTTACTCCAAATTTGCTCCAGGCCCAGTGATAGCTAATTACGTCTCTGAGACTTTGCAAACTTTAGAATGTGACAGAAATGTCCATTTTTTTACCAGGATTAAGAGAAAGAGCATGTGGACTGTCCCAGCAGGGGCTTCTGCGTCTTGGGGGTTCTGGGTGGGGTGGGTAGACAGCTCCAAGCTTCAACCCTACCATCTAAAATAGCAAAAAGATAGATTTTTAAAGAATTGACACCTGTATCATGCATCTTATTTTGCCATAACTCCATCTTAGTTTTCCTCATAAGCCAGGTAGATATGAGTATCTAGGCATATGATCTGAATGAATTTATCATTTGTTACTGAATGAAAACTGTCCAGAAGGGGTCATCTTAAGAGTAATGGTCCTAGATTCAACTTTATTTAGAGATATGAAAAATTGATAGTAAATACAATACCTAGTACAGTACTTGGCATATAATAGTGTTCAATAAGTGTTTATCGATTGATTGATTAAGATCTGTAACTAGGGTAGAACAGCGAGAGCTTTGCTTCAGGACACTGGAGTGTAGAGGGCATATCCTAACGCTTCAGCAATTAGAAACAGTTGAGTCTGCCACCTAGCAATAATAACTAATTAAAATGGGAAGTGACCAGATGATAACTACCTCTACATCCCAGGTGAACCTCTCCCCAACCCAGCTTCACTCCGCTTCTTCCTATAGCAGTGATGTCTTGGGTCGCTGTTCATAGAGGATGGTCTCCACACCATGGGGCAGTGTCTTATGTTGACTTGTTCTCAGGGCCACGCTTCTAAGGTTTCCCTCATGCTCCTTTCTCCTCAAAAGAATTTGTCCTAAGTATGGCTGGCTCTGAGTGAAGATCATTATTCTTCTTTTAAAAATTTCAAGATTTTGGTTGTTAACAGAAAATTGGACAAGTTAGGAAACCACTCTGACTTTCTGAGTTTGACATTCTAAAAGGCAGCTTTCACATTGCATTCCCACTCCGACTCGGGATGGCGGTCCTAATGTTCTTAAATAGCAAAAACAAAGGTGTGCCCTGTGTGGCTGAGTTCCCGATTTGGATTTTCCTAAAGGTTAATCAGATTGGTTCTCAGCCATGGGGTCTTTAGATCTCTTTCCCCTGATGTATGGCAGATATATATCAGTTTTGGAAAAGACATAGAAGAGCACTAGCTGAGAGAGCCAGAAAGCCTGGATTTTAACTTTGACGCCTCCATGAGCCAGCTGGTTAGGTCATAGACTCAGAATTGCAAGGGACCTCAGAGATCACCAAGCACAACCCCTTCATTTTATGGATGAGGAAATGGTGGTCTAGAAAGGTGGTAACCTGCCCAAGGTTGTAAGTAGCAGAGCTGGGATTTGAACAAAATGTAGTCTTCTTTCAGATATTCTGGGCCTTAGTTTCCATGTTGATAAAGTGGGGATAATATCTGCCTTACCTACCTCATAGATTGACAGCCAGGTGGTGCAGTGGATAGAGTGCCCAGCCTGGTGTCAGGAGGACCTGAGTTCAAATCCAGCCTCAGATACTTACTCATGTGACCCAGCTGTGTGACTTAATCCTCTTTGCCTCAGTTTCCTCATCTGTAAAATGAGCTGCAGAAGGAAATGGCAGTGTCCTTGACAAGAAAACCCCAAATGGGGTCACAAAGAGTTGGACATGACTGAAACAACTGAACAACAAAAGCATAACCTCATAGATAGTCTGTGAAGGTGAAATGAACTTAAGAGAAAATAAAATATTTTGAAGACTTTTTTTTATTGAGAATCCAAGACTACACAAACCCTTTGACTCTGACAAAACCACTTCTCCAGGTTTCTGACTGTGGAGGCCAAGTATCAATAAGATGAAGACTTGAGATATGTGAAGGGTTTTCTCAAGACGGAATTAGAATGTCCAACGATATCCTACTTGGTTTATAATCTTGTATGATGGACGATCCAAAGTACTCTTAAAATCACACAGCTCTTTTAAGAAGTACAGTAAAAAGAAGACACCAGGGATTATTATATATTTGATATTAGTGAGACCAAACCTGGTTAATGTACAGAGATATACAGCCATACCAGATATTAGAAAGTTCCTGTCCATCAAAACTATAACCAGCAATTTTTGAGCTTGCTGGAAGCAACATGGACAATGAAGAGGGGATAGAACAGAAAGGAGCTCACCAGGGTGTGAGCTGCTAGAAGGGGGCTCAAATTGTATTTGCTAAATGGCTGCTAAGCTCAGTTCTTTCTACTCTTTTGAAAGTCATTGGCAGGTACCATTTGCACCTTCTAAATTTTGGCACCCTGGGGAAAAAGCTCTGGTTACTCCACCCTAGTTACAGTTCTGCCACTTATATGATGGCTGGAACAGAGTTTATTGTCATGAGCTGCCCCTTTCTTCTAGTTATTTCATTCAACCAGGGAAACTTCACATTGTCTTTTCAGTTCATTGCAGTTTTCCTGGCTGTTTCCAAAAGAAAAGAAACACATACATTATTTAGTTATGGAGAATTGCCAAGGCTAAGACTACAGATGTCAGGTGGGTTTTATATCTTTGCCATGATACATGCAGAAAGAACTTAAAAACACAGATCAGTTAAGCTGGACATAAATTCATTGTGCCTCTCCATTTATACCCTATCTCTGGAAATGTGCTCAGGTTTCACTCCTACTCCAAACACTTAATAAGGTTAACGGGATTTGCACATGTTTATTGAAATGGCAATTAATTACGTTGCCCATGAAACCCTCCATACGGTGGTCGTAATGGCGCACAGGCTGCCAAGGAGCCTGCTTCAGCTCTTCCATCCTTTTGTTTCCTGGCTTTCCTGCAGATGTTGCCCAGAGGCAATGAAAGCTCCACTTTGGCTCTGTCAGGCCCTGATTAATGAAAGCTTCAAGTTTAATGTGCCTTTTTTTTCCAGCTCAGATTGAAATTTTTTCTTTCACTAAAAGCCCCAAAGATTTTAGAGCACTGGGCCCCCAGAAAGTCAACAAGGCAGCCAAGAGGAGCCTTGGGGGGAAGAAAGATAGAATCACAAGATCACAGATTTCAACCTGGAAGTCCAATCCTCTCATTTCACAGATGAGGAAACTGAGGCCCAGAGAGTTTAAGGGACTTGCCTAAGGTTATACAGGGAGTAAATGGAGAGAATGGGATTTGAACTTGGGACTTTGGACACTAAAACTGTACTCTTTTCAATGGACCATAGCTCCTCCTTGAATGAACACGGACACCATGAGGATGGTACCCACTGCTGGCGCCTGGAACCAATGTCAGTGGCCCCTGAGAGCATCTTGGTAGCCCCATTGGCCCTTAAGAAATAGCTTTGTCAGGGGCAGCTAGGCGATGCAGTGGATGGAGCACCAGCCCTTGGAGTCAGAAGGACATGAGTTCAAATCCAGTCTCAGACCAGACACTTGACACTAGCGGTATGATCTTGGGCAAGTCACTTAACCCCATTGCCTAGCAAAAACAAACCCAAAAACAAAAAAAAAAAAAAAGAAAGAAAAAGGAAGTCCTGAATAAGGCAAAAAGTTGTCTTGTGTAGCTCCACCTCTTCATGGGGGGAACTAGGTGGCACAGTGGACAGAGCACCGGCCCTGAAGTCAGGAGGACCTGAGTTCAAATCTGGACTCAGACCAGACACTTGACATTTACTAGCTGTGTGACCCTGGGTAAGTCACTTAACCCCAATCGCCTAAAAAAAAAAAAAAGAAAAGAAAAGAAATAGCTTTGTCAATCCACATTCTCTCT